GGGGGAATCTGTCACCACAGACACACGCAGTGATTATATAACAGAATATACAAACACACGTTAACTTTATCATACTGCAGGTAATCAAATTGGGGTTTTTATTGCTTTCCTTTCCAAAGCTGAAGTCTTAGTTAATGCTAGCAGTACTTTTCTTTTCAGCCTTCAAAATCCCTGCTGCTTTTACTCGGCTTGTTATACTCAACATCCACTCAGACCAAAAGCAACAAGGCCTTCCACTTTGTCCTGCTGTAGCGTGCCTTGACAGAGTTAACAGAAATCACCGTTTGGAAATCACTCTCGAGCAGAGAGCGTAAAACCCCAGAGAGTCCCCTGTGATATTTGCTTTATTGATATTAGGGACATTTATGGTGACAGACACGCCGGTTATTGAGCATATTTCCACAGTATGTCCACCTGTTCAGAAGTGATTCCAATATGCCAGCTTGTTGCACTGCGTCGCCGCGCTGCGACTGCGTATTTGCGCTTTAGGTAGCGAGGCTTGGAGACCAACACGCAGTCTATTTATCAGTGTTGTGTCTCCTTTGCTTTCTGTTGCATTGCAGGCTGTTTGGCAGTAAACAGTGAAATCACAGCCCACTCTGTCTCTAATAAGGAGGCGGTTTTGAGGGGAATGGGAGCTGACATGTGAACAGATGAGGGATGATTGTGATTACAGTGCAGCCAGAGCTTTATATAGGTGCTGGTTATGCTGCCTATTACCAAAGCAGCAGGGCAGCTCGGGAGTTCAGGGACAAGAAGCAGCCAGAGTGACTTCACTTTGGAGATGGGTCTGTTATTAATTGGCATCCTTCGAGGTGCTGTGAGTAAAGTGAGCTGGTGTTGCATGTTAGGGATTTAGCTGCTCATCTAATCCAGCGAAGCAACACGCTGTACAATAAGCTCACATTTCTAAATCCCCAAATTACAAGCAGCCAGTAAGAAGTGAAGCGACGTGTGAAGCTAAGGACGCTGAGCCCAAGAGAGTCGGAGGATTTTTCTTCAGAACTTTCTAAAAGGATGATTCTGTGAATACGATACTTGGAAATTCCACCTTTTGGTTTTTCCAGTAAACTATTGTTTGCTTCAGCTTCATCAGGGAACAAACTATACTGGTCTGTGCACTCAATTTGGTTGCCCCAACAACCTTTGTAATAATTGGATTCGTTTGGTGTGTTTCATGTTTTGAACAGGCTCTATATAAGAAGCCAACACCAGCGGACAATCTTCTACTTCTTATTTTAAAGGTTTAATCACTGCTAACCAACTAACCTCGGCCCTTCCTGTCTCACTTACGACTTCACTGAAGATGACATCATTCAACAGCCGAGGCATCTTTTTCTTTGGAGCTCTGTTGCAAGTAGGAGGAAAATACCGCAGAACAAGGACTACCAACGAGAGCTTTAGCTTCACTGGGCCTTGGATTTCAGCAGTTATAAATTCATTTTTTTTCCCGGCTGAGAACCATGGCCTCGACTAATAGTCGAATATAGAAAAAACCAGAAGGGGCATGTTTGGAGGTGTTGTCCCTCTCCTGAAATTCAGCTAATTTATCTCGAATTAAAATGAAATGACCATAGAAATGAGAGATTGTTCATTATTCTTAAGCTTCCTTTTAAATGTGCTCATATGTTATTTCATTAGACTGACATTTCAAATTAGGAAGTGTGTCATCAGTGACAGTTGTTCATTGGAAAAGTGGGTGTTTTTCCTACATAGTCAGAATTTTTGTTACTGCAAATTTTCTAGAAATACTGTGATAAATTTAGAGGCTATATCGCTACCTGTCATGTTACTGAATAACACCGGCTTTACCCGAGTTAGCCTCCTAAACCAAAAGTAAAGCCAGTTCCTCAGCCTTTGTCTTTCTTCCCCTGCATCCAAAGACAACAATCTTTGTCTTAATAAGTCAGGTCTTTCTGTGGTTTTCTCTTCACATATGACACCCTGCCAAATGCTGTATCCTCCCTACAGTAATTGCCTGTCTCCATATCAACTCTCACTTCCCACTCTTACTTTGGATTCTTGTTATATCTCCTGGACTTAGCCTGGGCATTTTTTTCTCCTCCGCCAGTAAATTTCTTATAATTTATCTGTAGCACCTGTGTAGGTTTCTTTTTTTTTTAAATTGTAGAGTCAAGCTTCAGCCATCTAAGTAGTACCCATTGTGCAGCCTGAATGTCACAGGGAGAGAGAAGGCTCTTTCATGTGCCTTGAGCAAGCACACAATAATGTCTCCAGTGAAGCCAGAAACAAAGGCACAGGTGTGTGAGGGCAAACAGAGAGAAAAAGACTATAACCTAGCCACTTGTAAGAGTGAAGGAGAAGAAAAGCAGGATTGCATAGGGCTCTTGGTTTTTACCTTCCCTCCGTATAATACAGGAAATGATGTGAAAAAGGCACCATTGAGAGAGGAAGAAATGCAAAGAGTGAGGGAGGGCTTCAGCTTGGTCAGACTTATTTGTGGAGCCGGCTGAGCACCGTTTGAGTTGGTCAGCAGTAGCTACACAAACACAACACAGAGTCTCTCGTATCACCCTCACACCATAGCTGAATATGTTTCCCACGGCGACTCTATCCGCCCGAGCAGCCGTCTATTCATCTACTCTGCTATTCTGCTCAGTCCCTTAAATTACTAGTATGAATGCTCTCTGCCATCTTCTTTTTTGCCAGTGGAGACAATGGACGTCCCTCTGTGCTCGTCTGCTCTGCTGAAGGCACCTGGTTTCAGATGAAAGGTAGACAGAGGGTAGATATCAACTATTGATGAGACAGAGTTCAGATTTTGTCATTATCTGAAAAGGATGATCCGGGCTGGCGGTGATCCATCCAATTCAATTACTCTCACAGCAAAGATAATTATGATCATCACCAGCATTTACACACTCTCTGCAGGAGAGAGCATTAGCTAGCTGGGAAAAGCTGGAGCTCCCAGGCACAATGGCGAACGGAGGCGAGAGTGCATGGGAAATATGAAGACCACAGTGGGGGAACAGACAGGGTCCTTAGAGTGAAGCACTGGCAAGTGATATTAAGATAAGATATTCTCACATGAATATAGAGGAGAATATGAATGATCACAAAAGAAGACAGAAGAGCTCGTGTGATTATTGTACTTGAGTGAACAAGGCTCTGTTTGGATGACGTTCAGCATGTTTAACATACGTTCAGCTAGTTTTGACCATTACTACGCCACCATTTGTACATGTGAGGTTGAAGACACTGTCTTATCTTTAGAGGTATTTGGTAAAGCACATTTAAAACGTGATAATGGTGCTAGATTCAGCCATTGGACCAACAAGGTGATTGCAATTCATTCTGAGCTAGACAATAATGTATATAATAAACCAAGCAACACATGGGAGCTGGTGCTGGTGGTGCTACTTGGAAATATCAGGGAACCAGAAAGGTCTACAGGCACTTGGATGCAGGGCTACTACTGTTAATCGTTCACCATTATCACCAGGACACAGATACACAGGAGAAAATGAATGCATTTACCTTTATGAGTCACCTGTCGGATCTGCCGTCTGATTCTACTGGAAGCAGCGTGTGACTGTGATCACACTAATCTGAAGGCTTTAGTCAGATTCAAGGATTCTTTTTTAACTTTAGCAATTCCTTTTAAAGGTCTGTCTGAAACCTTTTCTCTAAAATAACGTTTTCAAAATCAGAGGCAGAGCCTGGAGCTTCCAGACCCCTCTTCTGTGGAACCAGCTCCCAGTCTACCTTTAAGCTTAGGCTTAAAACTTTCCTCTTTGATGAAGGTTATAGTTAAGGCTTGAGGTTTCCCTGAATCCTCCCATAGTTAAGATGAAATAGGCCTAGCCTGCTGGGGGCTTACGCTTATGCCGAGTGTTTCTTTGTCCCTCACCTCACCTATGTGTTCATACATGTAATTTTCAGCAGTTATTAAACTCTGGCTTACTCTCTTATGATTTGCCTTTTATCTAATATCTCTCCTCTTTTTCCTCAGCTGGTCACGGGCCATGGCTGCCCCTCCCTGAGCCTGACTGAGGTTTCTTCCTGTTAAATGGGAGTTCTTCCTTCCCACTCTCACCAAGTGCTTGTTCACTGTCTTATTGTTGGGGTTTTGTTCTAATAATGTGCAGTTTTATCTTACAATATAAAACACTTTTGGGCGACTGTTGTTATGAATTGGCGTGATTTAAATAAAGCTGAATTAAACTGAATTAAAGCAAGCTTTTTCTCTGCAGAGGCAAGGGGCCCTAAACCAGACCACAAGCCAAAGACGAAAATAGATGAACATAGCGTGCACGTCTGCACGTGACACTAAAAAGTTAAGATGGCACAGAGTTCTTCATAATCATGCACTTCTTAAAGCGTTACCATTTGCAACATACTTGCACTCACACGTGCTCCTTCAAAATTCATTCACATTCACATCAGCTGAATAGACGCGAGCATCTGAGTCACTGCTTTCTGTTCTTTTGTCCTTGTGAACAGTGACACCTTTTACTGGAAAATGGGCAGAGGGTTTATGGCGTCAGTGTGTAGAAAGAAGTGCCAGTGTGAAGTCTGACTAATAGTGGTCTTAAAGTAATGGGACTAATTTAGCCTTGAAGCAATGATAGGTGAAGCAACACAGTCTGGCTAGCTCAGGTTTAAGGCATTGTCATGTAAACGGTGGTTCAGATTGTGCTGAGAGAAAGTAAAGCCACCATGCATTGGTGAAAACAAAATCAATTATATTCACAGCACTTATTATTATAGATGCCAGAATGAACATTTTTAGGGCAACAAAGAGTTAATCCACAGCACGCTGGATGGGATGACTCATAGAGACCACCCCAAACACAAATATCATCAAGCTGCCTTGTGCCTTAAACTATTCAGACCATGTTAGCACGTATCAGTTTTTATTTCATTACAATTATCCACCAATATATCACTGCTTAATTCCTTTTAGTCACCTCCTCCTCAGCCATATAGAGCCATAGTAACACACACAGATGTATAGTCACAAATGCGCACACACTGCATTCCTTTTGGGTTAATCTGTAAAAAATAATTGCTTCTTCTCATTGCTTCCTGTTCTTCCTCCATCCCGCCTTCCCCTCATTATCAGGATACACAACATAAATGGCCTGTTTTGAAAATGGCTCACACACTGAAGATCTGATGAGAGTAATTTGAGTGAAACTGCAGTGGGAGAGACTGGCCGGCATGTAATTGTGAAGGAAGTCAAATATAAACTGTGTTTGTGCGTGTGTACATGAAATAGTCTGTTTACACGAAAGGCTTTTGCAGGAAATGCCACCCACGCTCGGCTTTTATCCTGCTTTTCTGTCTTAAAGGTGAGCTGTACCTGGCTACACGGATCAGAAAGCAGCTGTTGAATTTTTCACAGAAAAACAAAATGTGGCTTATTTCAAAATGATCAGAGTTTGTATTGCATTTCATCTGTTTCTTTTATTTCCTTTTCTTTCTTGGACGTTTGAAAGTCTGCATAGTGTGCTGCGCTTTTTAGTCTGCCTTCATTATCTTAATAAATAACAACAGGTGAGCAAGCAGTGTGATTTAATACAGACGTGCCTCCTCATCTGCCCAGCGCTGTAGCTTATTCTGGTGAAACATGCAGTCAAACACGACAGGGCAAGAAATAATAGAACCTGCAAGCCAAAAGGATACTGAAAGCGATGTAGCCAGTGTGGATTAGGCTGAGCCCGAGTTCCATTTGTTCCTGTAAAAGGTGTGGAGCAGAGGAAAATCTGCTCTTCTCCTATCATGACAGGGCTACAAGCCATATATAAGATGGAGCTGAGCTAATTAATCTCTGACTGTTTCCAAAACTGCTTTTACTTGGCAGCACAATGAATGTTTCCAATCAATCCAAGTGTACCTTTTAAGTACACTGACATTTTAATGCTGGCAATAAATAAGGGCCTGAATGACGTAGCTCTCAAAAATCATGTCAATGTGGAGTCACATCCAGCACCATGAAGAGTGCTGGAGGCCACAGTGATGTTAGATGTTCTCCTTGGTAGGAAATTTTCTGTATTTTAGACACTTTTCCACAATCTACACAGAAGACTCACCTGCACAATCTCCAGCATCTCAGCTTTACTGATGTACCCGTTCCCGTCCAGGTCGTACATACTGAAGGCCCATTTCAGCTTCTGCTCCAGCTTGCCGCGCGACGTCACACTCAGCGCGATGATAAACTCCCGAAAGTCTATTGTCCCATCCCCGTTAGCGTCGAACGTGCGGAAGACGTGTTCGGCGAACTTTGAAGCGTCTCCGTAGGGGAAGAAGTTACCGTAGATCTTCTTGAACTCCTCCATGGAGAGGTTCCCGCTGGGGCAGTCCCTGAGGAAGCCCTTGTACCACTCCTGGATCTCGTGCTCGGTGAAGTCGGTGCTCTCCAGCAGGTCCTGCATCACCTCAGGGCGGAGCTTGCTGTTCTGCTTCCCCATGTCGTCGGTCCTGTCAATCACTCAGCTCACAGCTGGGAACACAGAGAAGACAACGAGCTTGATTTTGAGATGTGACAAAAGTAATAATGTAATTTCTAGTGCTTTTAGCGTTAACCGCTGCAACCATCTTTGTATTTTCCCATAACTCCATGAGTCATGTTACACATCCACGAAGAACAAATGTCTATTAGTGTGAGACATTCAATGAAAAAAAGTTTTGCAAGGGCGACTGTTGCATACATTTTTCCACTGAAGAGTTGCTCAGTTTAGACCTGTGCTGTGTTATCAACTAGTAAAATCAAATGTGTCTGTTTTTCTTTATAAAGCACAAGTTCATATTTGGACTATCAGCTACACAGATGAGCTAGCTGCTGTCTCCTTTAGTAGCTTCGCCTGATATGAAGCAAAAATGTAAGCAAGCCCCTCAGACGTTACGTTGATCACTCCTTTTTTAAAACTAATGGAACTTTCCATGGAAAATAAAAATAGCTCTGTGGACCCTGAGTGCACACAGCACCAAAAGTACATGGATTTAATTACTCTATAAAATCTCCGCAAACACACTTAACTGGCTTAGATGCGCTGGAAGGAAAAGGCAGCACAGTCAAATGATTTGGAGACTGATCTGCTTAACAAACATCGTTCAGATTCATAACCTCTCGAGAAAGACAATTTCTCTATTGTCTTCCTGGAACTTGTGATATCAGTGTTTGCGGTCCAGATCTTTATAAAGAGGTTAAAGCTTTACGATCCCCATCTGCAGGCTCTGAGCTGAAATGTTCATGTAAAATGAGAATGTTTACTTAAAGTAGCGACAATGATGATTCATTAACTTTGGGACTTTATTTGAGCTAGAGCAAATGGACCATTGTTTTACTTTTAAGACAGTAAAAGCGACGGCGCTCATAAAAGCTGCTCATTAGATTTCGTGTTGAGCAATTGGTGACTGCTGGCTAAGAAGAGCATGAAACTTCTCAGGGAGCTGATGTTTATTTGTGTATTTACTTTATTCTTTTATGTGTCTTTAAATCACCCAGTATTTCACTGTTTCCTAGTTAGGCTATATAAAATGAAAATGCTTAACAGCTGGGTCATTCAAACACCCAAGCACACTGTTTCTTCTTAAAATGTCCACTCCCAAGCACAATCGTGTTATATAATGCCACTTTTGTTTTGTCTGCAGTCAATTATGATATTATTTCTTGATGACGCGTTATTTATTTTCTTTCTTACTGCACTGGAGACTCAGTAAGGCATGGAAATACTAACAAATACAGCTTTTAAGTGGTCTTATCTGCCCTTTTGGTGACACAAACAGGAAGTGCTTGCTCCTAATCTCAGAGAGATTGCGCTCTCATTACACTAACTATAGTGTCAGTGTGTATGTGAGTGTACAATATATGCACAGGCATATTTTTCAGTATGAATGCAATCAAAGTATATTTAGAAGTACCAAGCTATGGTGACTGCATATGCTTTGGAATTCATGTGTTGAGGCTGTGTACATTTGTGTACAGTATATATTCAGCTCTGTGCGATGTGCTGTTAGGCCTGCCTTGGCCTGCACTCTGAAAAGGAAATGAGTCACTTATGTCCTCAAAACCACCATGAATAAAAGCATGTTTTAGGAAACCATAGGAAATGAAAGCCTCTTTTTTTACGTCACGACGAACAGCTCGTTCACAGTACTGAATACTGCAATCTCAGAGAGAAATGAGAAGCAAAAAAGAGAAGGTGACTTCTTTGCAGTCCCACCCACCAGCAAGTTCAGGTCATATCAAGGTATGACTAAGGCCGTCACCAAGGAAAAATATCCCCAGTGTAAGCAAGGCTATTTGAGAAGTGATAAGTTAAGTGAGTGCTGAATTATCTGAGCTGCAGCCGTGCTCTAAATCATGGTACAATAACCAGGCAGGCGCTATAGAACAGCTACCACTTCTCTTCAGTAAACATGGCGATGAAAAGTGCCCTGATGCTTGGGGTGCTATGGTCATAATCAACTGCTTGAGTACCATGTGACTGATGACACTTATACAATCGCCTTTGTTTACTTTTTATTAAACAACTTCTGCTAACACGTAGGGCACAACAAAGAACTGCAGTGGACTGAAAATGTGGGCCGGGGAGATGTTAGCACATACAGCATGCGCGCTATAATCCCAAAGTATGAATTCTGACAAAAGTTAAAGAGGACTAAATGGTCAAAAACTTTACAGCGGTGTCAAAGAGTATGCAGGGCTTGAACTTCTCTCCTTTTTGTTTGTCACACAGCTGTTTCTCTAGCTTTTCTGTGAGCAACCAAACGCAGCGGTACGAAGGCCTACGGCAAGAGAATGTCCACATATCTAAACAATTATCACGTCTTGCCTCATGATATTACAGCTGGCTTTTTCTCTCCGAGTGGCCAATATAAACACTGTATTTCCAACATGGTCAGACACCACAAATTCATTTTCTTTTTCTTTCCAACTGCTCTAAAAAACAGCAGCTATGCAAGCAGCACTAAAGGTGGTCCTAAGGCCAGCTGCACTTTGAGCTACATTCTTAAGATGCGAGGCCGACATCTTAAGATGTCTACGGAATAAAGATGCAACAGCAAGATGTCCATTATAATTTCAGGCCTCAGTGAGACTGGATGCATTCAGACTTATATCATGTTCAATGTTGCAAACAAGATCAGAAGTTTTACAATTAATATTTAAGGGAACATGAATCCAGCAGCAGGTAATGGAAATAACATTGGCATTTATACAGTATATATACTGGGAATTGTGCGTGTCTTTAGAGAATTTCACTGCAACCTATCACATATGGTAGATATTACACTGTGAAGGTGTAACATCTACCATAGAGAGATGCTGCTAATGTAACCAAATGTGGCTGCAAAGCTTGTACAGAATATGAAACATTAAGCTATTTGTTTCTACACCAAGTCGTTAGTTACAATTTTGACACTATTCAGAAATAAAAATGAAGCAGTGCTTACTTTCAGGTGGTTTCTTCAGTGTGCAATGGTGCACTCTCTTTTATTAGATGATTCATAGAAAGAAATACATTCAAGGCCTTTAAAATTAAATGAAAGGAAATGACGGACACATGTGATTTTTCATTTTTCTTCTTTGAAGCAGGTGAAGCTGAACAAAGGTTTTGGTTGAATAACTTTCAAAAGCTCTGACTTAGTGCCAATTACCACACTGACCGAATGTCAGCAACGGACCCTCGGAGCGGTTACACCAGAGTCTGTCGCCAAGCACTTCACCTAATGAAATCCACAGCCGTGACCCTGTCTGCTGCTCTAACACCAGCCTGCGTACACACACAGACACATGCACACTTACAAATCTGTAATTAGTGACCCACTGTGCCCTGTCACCTGCTATTTCCAGCGCGTACATATACGCTCACACAGCCCACTCACCCCACACACCGCTGCAGCCATGAAACCACTCTGCCAGTCCCGATGACATGCTTAGCCAACCGAGGATGCTCCTGGCAACCCACTTGATGATGACATGGATTTTCAGCTGAAGCCTGTATGTGTTTTTTTCTGGACCACTGGAAGTTCTACGTTTTGTGGTGGTTTCATCTTCATGTGGTCTTTTTTTTAATGACCAAAAAGTTCCTCAAGGAGAGAAAAAACAAAACTGGCTACTTCTATAATGGATAGCGATTCTTGCGAGTAACATTACCATTAATAAATTCGTGTTATTGAAAAGTGATTTTCGCTATCCTTGGTAAAAATACACAAAGGGGACTGTAAAACTCTGATCTAAAGGCCTGGCAATCCTTAGGACAACAAATCAGATAGATGTCTATGTATATGTACTGCAATGTGCACAAAGGATTGACAGCAGCTGACATTAAAACGAGTAGGCACTGCTGAGTGACAGGACACGTGTCAGAGCTTCTCAAGGCTGCTGCATCCTTCAGTGTGCTCTTCAGAACGTCAGACAGTGGAAAAGCTGGTTTCTTGCATTTCAGGCTGGGGGTGCTAAGTCCTCATAATATGTCCTCCAAAAAAGCCTACACTCTTGTGTTAGATAGGCTAATAGATGGTCCCATTTGAGTTTTGGGCTTCTTCTAAGCTTTATTGTAAGATGTAGTTCCAAGCATGCCTAGGAACCCACTGTCATGAGCAGATTATCTACTGTGTGGAAGATGGATAGTGGTCCTGGATAGTGGATCCAGGCCAACGTTAGTGATTTTTGCTGGATTTTAAGACGTTTAAACTCTAGCAGTGACCTGTAGTAGTCGAAATTTTTCAGGTTTTCATCCTAGATGTCTTTTTATGATAATCAGTTGCAGGTTAAGCAAACAGGGTAAGGATCTTATCTTGGTTTCTAATTACTACACATGGAAAACCTTGAAGGTAATGTAGTGACATCCAAATTCAGCCTCAATGTAAACACAGGGATTAAGTGGTTCCAAGGCACAATGGGGGCTTGGCTTAATCACTGACACTGGGTAAGAGGTGGGCTGTGTGTTGGACATGGTGTCGGTCCAGATACTAACACTCAGACCTTCACGATCACATCCTCACCTCCGCCGCTAGGATCACCAATTAATCTAACATGCATGTCTTTGGATTGTTTGAGGAAACTGGTGCGCTTGGAGAGAAGCCACGCAGGCACAAAAAGTTCAAGTGAGAGCATCAAAGACACTTTTACTGTTGAATATGACTTCAGAAATTGACTTCTACTTCATCAGTTGATTTATTTTAGTTGTTGTAGGGAGAGGGAGACAGCAGCTGCAGCATTCTTTAAACACCAAATGAACTATCATTCAAAATGAGCACAGTCATTCAGATTGAAGTAAAGTCTATGCACATCTGGTTGACTACGGCTTGGATTCACATTCATAATTTACAGTCCTTTCAGCTGAAGAGACTTTCTGATCACTTCCCCGGTGGACAAAATCATTTCTTTGTAAAACAAAGGTTGCAATCAAACTGTATGAACATGTTTATGAGACAAGTGAAAGAAGAGAATACATATTCAGTAAATATTTGTAGTATCGATATGAATCTTATAGAGTCTTTCATCTTTTTCCTCTTTGATTCATAAACTCCTCACCTTTCTCTTGCACCTTGTTTTTCCATTATTTAAATGCTCTTCATCCTCAGCATTATTTCAACCTACACAGGACCAGCTCTCTCTTATGAGGCAATTCCACTGCAGTTACCATAGTAACATTCAGCAAAATCATAGAGCCATTGATGAGATTTCTGGCTGCATGCACAGCAGACACATGCACATGGGTAAAAAAGCACACACACACACACACACACACACACACACACACACACACACACACACACAGTACTCTCAATCAAATACACTGTGCTCTGTGTGTAGGTGTATGATAATGGTGGGGGGTGCAGAAATGTGAGGTGCAGTACCAACTGTGGTTAACTGCTAAACAAATTCAAAAAAGGTAATAAAATGTTAAAATGGAAAGATAACCGTAATCACAACTGGGTAAAATTGGCCAACGCTACAGTGGTCTGCATGAATCCTCCATTTGAAGCATCCATTCAGTTTTTTATACACCGATCAATTCCAGATAGAGACGTGCAGCTTGGTAACTACAGTTCTTAATTCCTTGAGGGATGTAAACAGGAAATCTAATGCTGCAACATCTTGAGGCCAGATTTCTTTTTGTCTCATACGTGCCATTCTTCTCATGCTTGCATTCACACTGACACGTACGACTACATGCAATGCACAAGAAATACCTGCGTGGTGGACCTGGAGCTGTCAAAAAGTCGAGTGGAGAATGATGCGCACTTCTCATTCTCAGTATTTGCAATCCTTGCTGCGTAGCAGAAGAGGAGGAAGCAGCAAGCAATTTTTGTCCAGAAGGAGGAATATACTGCAGATGGTAATATAAATGTTAGCTAGCTACGTTTATCTTTTTTTTTTAAGACACTGATGTCTGTGGATTGGTTTGCTGTTTAGATGTCACCATAGCTGTTGCACAGAATAATACATGGTCTAATAAGCATGATGAATGTAGAATTTTAAGGATTGATACCAGTATCGATATTTGGCAATGTAAAAATCAGATATTCTCATAAATCTGTCGATGCTGTTTTGTGTTTTTTTGTGTTTGCGGTGTTCCAAACATCTGCATTGCCAACAGGGAATTTGCAGAATATCATCTGGTGGATAAACTATGCAAAATCAACATGGTTGAAGGGTGTTTCTCCTGCCTCTTCTTTACTTTTTTAATTTGATTGTTTGATTGTTATATAGTTAATATCGGCCGATACTGTCGGCCTGCAGATAAATCAGTCAACACTCACACTCTGTGCAATAAGTAAATAGTATACATGGAATACAAGATGAAAGTGTACTAGCAACCCCCCCAAATTGAGGCACAATGTTTTTATTCACATAAAATCAGCTGGATGTTCTGAGTCCTGAAGCAAACAACATATCAACAGCCCATTCTTCCTAAAGTGTACATTATGAACGATTACAGATAAAATATTTTTACAGTAAAACCCAAACTATACCTAAACTGCCACAATAGCTGCCCCTTATTGAAATCACAAGCAGCAGCACTGCACCAGTTGCCTGTGTAGACAGAATCTTGAATGGAGAAGACTAACAAAAATAAATGTGTGGATTTTAAGATGTGGGCTTGCTGTGAAAACCTGATAACTCTGGAGAAACAATAGTTGTCTCACAAGTAAGGAGGTAAATTTTTCCAGGTTTTCTCACCAAATATGCCACAAGATGTTGAATTTTTCTTTTTAAATGAAGTCGAAAATTGTTGCTTGAAATATTGTTTTAGCTGTGTTCTCTATAATTTCCGTTCCTTTCTTACACACTGACCATTTTGAGAAAAACATACAGTTAATGAACAAAATCTACCAATTCATTTAGTCATTGTTTCTTAAAAGTCAAAAAAAAAATATTACTCTAAAAGACGTTGCTGTTATTCTGCAATTTGTGATAAAATGATGAAATAGCAGTTCTATTTCTTCAACCAATCCAATAAAATGAGCTAATTAGCTTAACTGTATCTTCTAATTCAACCTTGTAAATCCAGTTTTTCACGAATGCCTGGGTGGTATAAATGACTATAACACCTTGGAGAACAGGTACAGCTATCAATGCAATGCAGTTGGAATCATTTGTATTGTAATTAACTTTCACTGGTATCTTGGTTTCCAAAACTGAAGCGTGCTGAATTAGCTAATCACATCAGACTAGCACAGTAGTGAACTCACTGTGTTTACCGTTTTATTCCCTGGCTATCTTTTAACAGGGACTAGACTGTAAAAAAGAAAAACAGAATCTCAAAATTGCTAGTTTTCCTCCCATGTTGGAAAAAATGTTGGTACAAAGTGGCATTTGGTAACTGGTAGCTGGTTACCATGCTAATTCACCAGATTACTATCTAGTATATAGATTGTAATTTCAATCAGAAGCCGTAGTAGTATTTCTAGGGTAAAACTGAAGCGCTGCAATGTAACAAGTTTGTAGAACTGGGCTGTGATGCCTACACACAGGGATGCAGCCACACATGGAATACCTGGGATGCTTAACTCCATGTAACTCATTTGCTTATACAGATACAGATCCTGTTTTTATGTCAGGATCCAAAGACTGCTGTTCTCTTTGGATCTGTTGAAGCTATATCAGAGAGTTCTGTCAGTTTTACTCCCTATCACCTCAACTCGTACATACACTGGCTGACTCGTACAAGGGTGGCTGTAGCTCAGGCGGTAGAACAGGTCATCTACTGATTGAAAGGTTGGTGGTTCAATTCCTGGCTTCCCCTAGTCTGCATGCCAAATATCCTTGGGCAAGATACTAACCCCAAATTGCTCTCTGATACATCCATCGGAATATGAACGCGTGTGAATGTTACCTAGAAAGCACTTAGAAAAATGTGCTGGTGTGAATGGGGCTATATAGGAACCAGTCCATTTACCATTTACACTATAATACATGGAATCCGTGTTATGCAATGGTGATGTTATTGATAAATGTGGAAAACAAATATGAGATTTTGAGTATAAGATACAGAAACCTGTTCTAAAAGGTTTTCATTAAGTGCAGGGATACTTCATTTGGAAAGCTTTCTTCTATTTGCTAAAGCACTTTGCATGACACTGCTAATTTATAATTCATAGAGCTTTTATTATATTATATTTATATGCCGCATATATCTGAATGGAAAGTGCAGATGCAAAATCTGCACTTGGGAGAGCAGTTTGGGATGCAACCCCTGAATAAAACATATATATTCATCGGATCTCCAAGAGACTGTGAGGTGCAAATATAAAGCAGTCATTTTGTTGTTTTTAGGAGAGTGACTGAAAAAGAAATGGCAGTATTGTTAAAAAAAAGAGAGAGAAAGTTTCCCATGTTTTTTTTTAGAAACATCTGCAGCAGTTTAAGTCTCCAGAACAATGGACAGCAGGAATGAAAGGGGAGGGGGAGTACAACAGAGAAGGACACACAAAAATAGACATTAAAATAAGAAAGAAAATGCTGAGGAATGGATGACTACTCTTTCTGCTTATATCCTGCTGAGCCTGAGGAAACCCACCTCCTGCCCCAGCAGGAAAACTGTACAACAATTCAAATTACTCATCACTTAACTTGGGGGGGGGTTAAGGCCTTTGGTACATGTTTCAAATGAATCTTCATTAACTACAGTAGTAAGGCAAATCTCTAACCAGTCTGTAACTTCCACTGGTACCAAAGAGGCCTCCAACTGGCTAGTCAGCAGGTGGATAGAAGGTGACTCTAAAACCTTTAAAGTAGGACGTGTGAGTTTGCAGCAGTTGGAGTGAAGTCTGTCTTTCTAGGATCGAACTCCTTGTTTCGTCTCAGTTTGTTTGGCTCTTTCCCGTTAAGTCGCTACCAAACCAGAGACAGCATTTGAAGTCTTGTCACATTGATTGTTGCTAGCTGGTTAGCTGCCCACGATCGTTATTTTCAGCTGTTATACTTTTAAAAGGCCTTCTTAGTCTTCATTAGGTTGCTATGGTAACAGACCTGATAGCGGGTGGATGAGTAGGCAACCGCACACACTGTAGTGTCTATTGATTTAGGAGCAAAAGGAGCGATCCAGTGAGATGCACAAGATGACACACTTCCTCAAGTCAATTTTATAATCAGCTTAAAGGTTATGTAATTCAATCTGTGAAGCTGCAGTGCAGAGATCTGTGGCCATGCTAAAGGTATTAAACATTAATTAATTTTAATAATTATTTATACAGGCTTGTTTATTTGCATTAGATGTACAAATGTATGATGGCCCAATGAATCTGTAGAATAACAACAACATCTCAGCTCAACTATTTTGACTGTTATGAGAATCAGGTCTGGTTGCATGCCTGTGTGGAAAACTGTTCTTCTCTTCTGTGTCCGAGAGAAAACGACCCCTGCCTTGTACTCCGAGGTCGTGTCTAATTTGCTTGGCTCTCCATCTGTGTAGCCCTGGTGGGAGCGCTCTGTCTGCCTGGCACTAGATCATTGGACCTGCTAAATTGGTTGGATGACTAACTCCTGGGGCCCAACAGGGGGAAACAGAATAGATGTCTGCCCTGCTGTTATTGTGGTGATTACGTCTGAGGTCTGCTGCTAAATTTCATACAAGTGAGTTTTCTCAAATCCCAAACAGACCCCATTTAGCTCAGCTACTGAGCTTTGCACTGTTACACAGCTCTGTGGGTAGAGGTTGTCTTTGTCAGAGATAAAAGCCCAACTTCAGCTTGGAAGCTAATTGAGCTAAACCTAAATCTATGAACTTGCTTAAAACTCTACAGTCACTTTTCTATTGCACATATATTTTAATACAAGAACCCAATGAAAGGTCCTGAGATCCTAGCTATTTCATTCTACCATATGCCTATTTCAGTTATTAGCGCATACATTTGTATAGGTAACTATAATTTGTGATTAATAATAAAGTATAATGTTAGTGATGGTGATTATAACGCGTTACAAGAAAACTTCACGGTGCTGTGTACTACCACATGACAGCACTGTGGAATAAACCTTTAAATGTTCTCCTTCAGACGAGTCAGGACAGCTAATGGCACAAGTTCATAGTGACATTCCAGAGAAAGCAGCAGAGGATGACAAAATAGCACTCTAAGAATAGCAGTCGCACTGAAATCATTCCAGAGGTGGACTAGAACACAAACTTGACGTAGAAATCACCCAAATTTCCAAGATTTAGGGTATCACGGCTTTTGACTTTCATGGACTGATTCCCAGAAGTTGCATGTGGTCGGTTTACATTGTCATAACTGGTGCAGACATAAGTTCCCAGATCCACATGGATCTGGGAAAAATCTGAACTAGATGTCAACCTCATATTCCACGCAAAAGGAAGAGAACAGATTAAGCAGCTTGACATTTTTCCATCACTATAATGTCAACTTTTGCCTGTGTTATTCTTTTCTTTCCAAATGAATTTTCCGTACGAATGACGGCTGATAACAAGAAAGAAAAGCACCTGCTCAGCAGCGATAGAGTGACATGGCTGTAAACTGTGCTGAACTAAAACTGATAAAAGCTGTTTGCAGAGTAATTATAGGAGCAGCTGGGGAATGCACGTCTGTTACAGGACTGAGGGTGCGGCCTGTAACACTGTATGCATTAATGAGAGAAAGAGTGGGAAGAGAGAGAATGTGACGTGGGCAAAGCCTGAGTCTGGAGATGGTTCTGACTGAAGAATGCCCCTGGGGATGCAACAAAGCTGGCTCTGCTTCCTGTGGTGTAAGAAAATATAGAAACAGGATATAACATCACGGAAAATAACAAACAGCAGGGAAGTTACATCACAGTGTGAAGGTCAGGGGTCAGGATTAACCCGGGGAACCGGGCTGTGTTGAAGAGAGAATTTGGGGCATTAAGATTTCTGGATATTCAGACTGTCAGTCAGCTTGAATAAGTCTGTGTTGTTCCAAGTAAACTGACATTTTCTAACTGTTTGATATTAACATAATTTGCTTTAGTTTTAATGGAGCTTAATCCTGTACATTTCAATCTGTTGCCAAGTTAAGAAAGATATTTTAGGTTTGTGGCAGCAGTAATAACGACGGCCCTTTGTTTGACAGAAGAGAAACAACCGCAGGAGCTAGCTAAACAACAAAAGCCAATATATTTATTATTAAAAGTAAAGCACCTGACGTGGTCTGCAAGAACAAAAAGAATATCTTGCACAGTATCTGAGGCTCTTATTTTGAAACAGTGAACATTTGATTCCAAGACTGGAAATAAAGCCTGAAATTTATACTTATTTATGCAACAGGTTCTTTAATTTAAACATGTGCAGATTGAAGGATTTAGATATTGTTAATCATCTTTACATCAGCCTCCTGGTTTAAAGTATTTCTTTCTTATCTTTCTGTGTTTCTTTCTTTTCCACATGTCGCTTAGATGAGTTCACCTGTGCAGTAGGCCAGACTGGGTTTTGTAAATGTCAAGTTTACTGCAACATTTTTTCCCCTTTTGCTATGACTGGTATGTGGCTTTGTAAATACTCTCCCTCCCGCACTGATGTGAACATTCTGCGGACAGCCTTCTTTGCAGAATGATGTCTGCCAGCCTAGACGTCCACTATCTTTATTTGCCGTTTGGAAAAATGACATAATAACACTGATATATACTGATCTCACAGACACAGACATAACCACAGACAGACACACACATGCACACGGAAATCTCTCTTTGTCCTTCAGCGGGAGATAAAAGCTGAGTAACCATCAAACGCACAAGGTTACCACCTGTGATGATGAGGCAGAACAAAGGAGACACACATTATTGTGCGTGAGTGGAAAACAGCCACTGCAAACTGCATTAAGAGGTCAGTGTATCGTAAAACGTTAACCACAACTGTGCTCAGTGTCGTCTGTTACTGGCAGTAAAAAGGCGCTACAACGTAAACGCAGACGCAGCTAAGTGATGTTGAATCGTTTCAAAATCTATGTTTATGTTTTTTTCTCCAAAAAATAAAAAATGTAAAATGTCGTCACAAAGACAGAGCTGGGAGACACTGGGCCTCAGTTGCAAATATGTGAAACTGAATCAGCCAGAAAAGGCAGAGCTTTCTAAAGTGTTTCCTCTGGAGTGGTTAAAAAAAGCTGCAATACTCAAGACTAGTTTTTAATGAATGTGTTTAAAAAAAGATAACACAAAAAAACCACTTACAGATTACAAATGTGATCACAATCGCAGTGTCAGACTGCCTGGACTTTTAAGAAAGTGAAAGTGTAGTAATCTCTGTTTTTTAATGTTTATAATATCCCAAAGTCCAATTTGAAGTTTTGACAAGTAAATACAAATAACATTTCAAATGCACATTAATACATGTTATGTTTTAGATTTACAGAAAAAAAAACTACCCAAAGATTTTTAAGAACAAGTTAATATCGACTGAAGAAGGACCAAAGATGCAAGAGGAAATTACTGTGTAGATAACTGATCACACATTATGAAGGAAAGTCATGAACAGGATTTGTCATGTGGAAAAAGACACTCATAATCTATGGTAGACTAATCTGTGTGGATTTACAGCAGTTCTGTAACAATTCACCTTTAATAAACGGCTTGAGATCAGATTTTCCAACCCGATATTTAAATTCAGCATTTTTTTTAGTGACAATTCGATGATAGCACTCATCTGCTTATGCCTCACATACCCTAGTAAGGCATGCATCCTGCCTGCCAAAGGTCTCTGCGAGCACTGAGGAATTCCAAGTAGCTATGGATGTGAGATTCATCATGTAGTAGCCACCCAGTTATTTGGATCATTCCTGATGGGATATAATTTACTGTCTATACTGTGAATTATTAAGTGCATCTGGTGTGAAATTTAGAAAAACAGAAAAAACCTTTAAAACTAAAAAAATCTTATTAAGGACATCTCATCGCAATATGTAACATTTTGTTTGCTGTTGTTCTTGTATAAAATATTTGTTTCATGATTATTTCTGACTACAAATGAGAGGAAAACATATATTACTCTTTTTGAACTTTACTTTTGTGACCAGGACAATAACATTACACAAAAGCAAAGTTTGAAAAAAGATAATGCTGATGGTCTGATAAGACCGACAACAGTAAAAAATAAGAGCCACTTATTTATACCACATTCATTTCTTTCAAGCTCTCAATTTTTAAGCAACACGTTTGACTTGCTTTTGTTGTACTTTGTGTTATTTTCAATCCTCACCGTGTGTGCTTCTAAGCTCCTCATCGGAGTCAGGCCATCGGTCTCTACTCAAATATTCTGAGCTCGTTTTCTAACGGCATCATCGTCTGCATCTTGCTAACATGAAACGCTATGTTGCATCACATGGATGATTTTCTCTTTTGTTTAGAGACAGTCAACATTAAAGGTTTCTTTGTAGTAGAGCAAAATAAATAAAATAAAACAACAACCCAACAAAATTATAGATTTTTATTTCAGACAGCCATCATTATTATCCCAAGTGAGTAAGCAACCACAAGTATGTAGCGTCTGGCCAGTGTTGTTCTGCTGGCAAAAGTTTACTTTCTTAATACTTCACTGTATGAGAGCTGAAACTCAAGG